TGGCAGCATGCATTTACGATAGTGTCTGGCACGTACATGTCATCTAAGTGTTCCCTGCTATACTTCCAAGTATTATTATGGAGGGTCCCGACTCATAGTGGTTTGGTTGGATTTACACTTTTTTAACTTTGTCATGATGATATGAAAATAATACATATTCAGTAGAAACTGCACAGCAAATATTCAATTTTGATCTTTTCCCAGGCTAGGAAATAAACTTTTTGGAAATGCCTTGCAGCATTTACAGAGATGTAACCCACTTTAAGTCTAGGAACATCCATATTTACTTTTACTAATACTAGACTACATGCCTTGCTGTTGTTGATTCCTGGTTCCTGAATCTCAACTCTATTAACTGTTAGGACCTAAAAGAGATGGGCTCCAATTCTGCTATTCCACAAGGTGCACTGAATGCATGAACTCTGAAACCCCACTGGGTGATAAGTTGATGACAGGACTCTGGCCTTTGACTATTTTACAATCTACTGCAAAAATCAAGGTGAAGGGCCGGGGATTTAGCTCAGTGGTTTCGGCGCCTGCTGTGCAAGCGCAAGGATCCGAGTTTGATCCCCAGTACCAAAAAAAAAAAATCAAGGTGAACAATTGTGAAACACTAAATTTATATCCACCATGTAACCACCATATAACCCAAGCCTGATATATTACCGATTTCAGCTTTTGAAAAGAATTTCACAATAAAAAAAAAAAAAATTAAGAGTAGGCTCAGTTGCTGGGTTAGTTTCTAACCCCCCCAAAAAATGTTAAACTAGTTTCTTTCAAGAAAACATTCCCATTGAAAGCTTTAAAGCTAACATTCCCAAGTTAATTAGTAAGTTATATGGCTTACTGTATGAATACTCTAACGATTTGAGTGGTATTTTGCTTGGGTCATCGAATAATACTGCAGGACGATGACAAAGAAACATGACTACATTCTTTAAAACTCCAACTATGTTTGAAGAGATGTCTGTACTTCTGTTTCCTTTGGGTTTCATTTCATTTCACTGAAAGTTGATGTGTGTTTTAATTAGTTTGTGTTACTAACAAAATGCGCATTTCTGTAAGCACTCTCTCCCAAGCATTACAAAATGAGTCACATAAATATTTTATTTCTACCTTTTTTGTTTAAAATGTGGAATTACTGAAATGTTCTATGTAAAAATAGCCTTTTAAAATAGTGTGTCCCAATATTTTAGCTTACTCTTTTCAATCAACGTAAAGACAAACCACACCACAGCAGGAGTCTTTCCCCATATTTAATTATTAGCCCATCTGACTTCAGATGAAGTCTTAAAAGTCCTCTTTGTACAGTCAAATGCACTTTGTAAAGTCTACAGGACTTTTTCTGTGTTCCCTGTTAAAGTTCTTTATTTTAATAACAGGCTTCTGTGTAATTAATCCCTGGGAGTCTGCCATCACATAATCTACCCTGTGTATGAACTGTTCCATGTGTATTTAAATGGTAACGAGACCTCTGGAAAAAAGCAAATAAATAAACAAAGACCAGAAGGGATCAGGCAGAAGGGGGCAAACTGAGAAACACAACATATCTCGTATACCTATAAACCGGGGAACAAGAACCGAAGGCTCCGTCCGGATTACTAGAGATTTGGGAAAAGGAGATCCACTGAAAGCAATGTTTCCCTTTGACATGAAACTGCAATACTTCCTTATTTGGGAGCTAAAGGAATAAGGCAATCATAACCAATGCTACGCTTGTATATTTGCTCTGGGCCTGTGCGTGTGTGTGTGTGTGTGTGTGTGTATGTGTGTGTAAAATACTCGACTGTCTAACACACTTTTGCCTCATCACAGAAGTTTAAAATGTAGCTGAGAAAAATTCTTGTGAACTGAAATACAGAGCTAGGCTTTTATTTTTTCTCAGAAAGTTATTTCACCCATGTTAAGCAATCCCAGGTGAAGGAAAATGACTGTACACTTTACTATTTGAAAATATTTTGGAAACTTGCAAAATTCTCACTTGAAAATAGAGAAAAACACAGTTTTTGCAGAGTGAATGAGGACCACACTCACTCCATTAAGAAAAAAAATGATTTCCTGTCAAAGCAGAAATTGGCAATTTAAGAAAACACAGCAAAAGCTGGGAAGAAACTTGAGGATGCTTAAATTTCCACTGTGGAGCAACTTCTACTGCCCCTGGGGAGGGGATGAAAAGAAGAAGAAAGAAACACCTGCAGCAGGATGGGAAGAAATGCAAGGTGCCACCCGGGGAGGGGAAGGAGGTGGAGAGCCAGGTGCAGGAGACACGCACAGACCTGCCGAGGAGGAGCCAGGGAGGTCTGCAGTCACCTGCCACAGCAGGGGGGAAGAACCCTGAAGTCTCGGGGCCTTTCGCCAAGGAGTCAGACACTGATGTGCTTAGAGCACCCTTAGCTCCAGGAACTATTAGTGAGGTGCTGACGGTGGCTGCCACCAACTTCACATCAGACAGGCCCCAGGGTTACAAATCACTGTCACCTCATAAACCACACCTTGCCATCAAAATGGCAAACAGGTTTTCCTGCAGTCACAGGGGTTAGTTTGGAAGCGGATAATAATTTAATGAGCAAAAACAGAAATTGCAAGCACTAACTGGAAAAACGTAATACTACATAGCTGCTTTTCCTGATGATTTACACAGCAGGCCACAGTTAAAAGACTCATTCATGTGAGACTGTAACGGCAGTAAGTAGAGAGAATAAATTTCTAGTGCAATTCAAGTTTAACATCAGATCAGTGCTTGTTTGAAATCCACAGGAAAACCCTTGGTCCAGCATGTCTGCTTTGATTACTTTATACCACACATCAACTTGTATAATTACACAGAAGGGTGTTGGGAACAGCAAGATACTTCATATCATCTAAAGAGCCATTGTTAGGGGACTATTCCATCCACATTATGGGATGCTATATACAAAAAAAAAATGAGGTTGAACAATACGCATTAATAGGTAAGTGCACCAAAGGTATATGAAAAGGGAACAAGGCTCAGAACACTACATACAGTATATTCCATGTATTAAAAGAGACAAATATGTGGATATGACTATGTGTATGCATATAAACATTTATGTGTGCACATACATGCCTAGAATATTTCTAGAAAAATTACAGAAGAAAACAATCTGAAAGGTAGAAGGGAAATAACTATTATCCTTTTAAATTATTAATCCCCAAATCGAGATCAATAACCTTATAGGTAACGTGAGGATTTGAAACACTCATAATGAGCTATTCTATGTATACTACTTTTTAGGACAGCTTTATAAACACTTTGGAATAGGACACATTCTGTTAGTGATCAAATACCACGAGAAATGGCGATTCTCTAAAACCATAAAAAAATGTAAAACCCACACAAATAAGTGCTGGTGTGAGTGAAAGCGAAGCATCCTGGGCGGCAGTAATGGAAAGCTCAGCATCTGTCTTCCAGGGGTCCGGCCTCCCAAGGGACACAGAGTGGTGACAGCCCTGGGAGAGGAGACAGATGTCTGGCCAGACCTGACGTCTCCCTGGCTGTCACCCACAGAGTTAACACCTTCCTCTCTCCGTGTTTACCCCTGGGAGCAACACCACCAAGAAGAGGTAGTAAGATGACTCCATACAGTAGAAATTCATTTCTGAAGGAAAAACGGTGCAGTGCATGAAGTTCTCTTGAGAAGCTGAGAAAACCGGAGCTGCAGCCCATTTGTTGGACTTGCCATGTGCCTCCCACGCAGGGCACAAATATCTGTCGCCTGACCAAGGGAAGCGGGTTTCATCCTGGGTTTGTTTTCCACAAATACCGAGATGGGACCGAACTCATCATAACCTTCTTCGGGGGTCAGAAAATCACACGTATTTTCCCACAGCCTAAGTGCTTAGCTAGACCGATCATCTAGTCTCTCTTGAGCTCACACAAGGACTCAGAAACTGGCCTGTTCCCTGTGCTGCACTTTTCCCTCTGGTGCTCGAACCCTAAAAACACAAATTTCAGCATGTATCACAATTACAACTGCCCATACGAAAAGAGGGCATCAAGTGAACACCTTCACTTGGTCACCCAGGGCCACACAATCAAGCCACAGACTACTCAGGGAAAGAGTGACAGTGAGAATTGTAAGAGTTTAGTAGAAAATCCTTGTCATTTACTGTCCAGGCTCATTTAACTGGCTTCTCCCGCAGGAGAAAAAGGGTCATCTAGGCTCAATTCTCCTGTGTCTCTGGAGGTTTGAGCTTAACCGCAGACTTTCAATCTGAAAAGTCGTACGGGGAGTGTATTCCCACTGTTCTTTACTGGAGAAACTCACTGCTTAACTGCACCAACCCGCCTAGTTTCAATCTTTCCTGTGGAAACATCTTCGGTAACCAGGGCAAGGCAGTCCCGTGGTCAGTCAGGAGAGGCTGGCCAGGGACAGCCCTGCGCGGTGACATGGAGACCTCACAGAAGCCAAGCACGTTCTCGGAATCCCTTGTCCTGCTCTGCTCCAGGGTAGACATCGGGAAGGGAGTGTAGCCCAGAAAACTCCGTCCCGGATTTTCAAAAGCATCATCTACAGGAAGGCCAGCTAGGAACCGTGGACATCCTCCCATCTGTCACTGGGATCTTTTCCGTGCCTGGATTCCTTACAAAGACGGCCAGAGGGAAAGCACTTTCCTCTAAGTGCAGCCGGCACTGCTAGGGGCAGAAAACGCAGGCTTCTCCACTCTCGGGCCCAGCTCCTCCCCTTTTCCAAACTCCAGGAACCTTTTTCCGCCTCCCCAAATCGGCCTCCACAATGGCCCAAGATTCCTTTTCCGCAGGACCCCTCCCCTGGGGCAGGAATCCCTCGGGTCAGGAGCGATGTGGCTTTGCCCAAGGAGGCGAAGGCTCAGCAGCCGGGCACCACCAAGGTGACCGTGGGAGGCCTTGCCAAGGGTCCCTTCAGGGCGGAGAGTCCCGCCAGTGACTCCAGATCCTAGCCCGGAAGGGGGAGGGGAGCCCCACGCCGAGGGCGGCGACCCGCTCGCTGGTCCCTTACCCCTTCAGCGCGTCGTGTCCGCCGCCCCCTCTCCTCTTGGCCCGGCTGGCTCGGGTCTCCTTCACGTTCCCAGCCGCCTCCGAGTTGGCGTCCGCGCCGTAGCTCGTGTAGGACGCGAGGAGCACGGTAAATCCCAGGGCGACCTCCAGCAGCGCCCCCCGCCGCATGATGCCGAGCGGCCGCGCCTCGCCGCCTGTCGCCGCGCCCAAGGCGCCCGGAGCGCACCGCGCCGCTGTCCCGCTGTCCCGCTGTCCTCGCGTCCCGGGCCGGGCTGCTCCCGCTTCAGGTGGCCCCTGCCAGCTGCAAGAGACACAGATCCCGCGGGGGGCGACTTTCAGACGCCGGGATGCTGAGCCCGGGTCCCCGGTCCGAGCCCGCGCGCCGCCTGCTCGTGGCGCAGTTACTTGGCGAGTGGAGACTGCGGGTCCTCAGCTGGCCGCAGAGCTCCGGCTACCCCTCCGCCCCCGAGCCGGCCGCGGAGCCCGCACCCAGAACCCGGTCCCCGCGGTCCTCCGCCAGCGCGATCGCGCCCGGGTGGCTTTAGAGGGCACCGATTGCGCGCGTCGCGCCCTGAGCGCCCAGCCCGTGCCGTGCGCGCCCGCCGAGCCCGCCCGGCCCGACCCGCCGCAGAGCTGTCAGCCAGGCCCGGCCCGCCCCCGGCCCCGACCCCGACCCCGGTCCCGGCCCCGGCCCCAGCCCGCGGACCCACAGGGCAGGCGGCGCTGCGACCCCGGCCCCGGCGGTCTCGACCCGGCACTGCGCGCCCCGCGGTCCTGGACGCCGTCGCGCGCGGCACCGCTGTCTGCCCGGCTCCGCGCCCCCTCCCGCCCCACCTCTTCAAGTATCGTCCGCGCGGCGCCTTCTCGCGAGAGAAATACTTTTTTTAAAAAAAAGAAAGAAAAAGAAAATGACACCCCCTCCTCCATCCTGTGTCTCCACCCCACCCCGGCCCCTCGCGTCCTCCCTTTCCACTCCTCGCTGCCAGCCTGGCCTCGGCGCAGCCGCCCGCGCGCGGGCAGAACCATCGGGGGAAGGTGGGGTGTCTGGGGTGCCAGCCGGGAGGGGGTGACCGGGCGACAGGGTGACCGGAGGTGGGGGGCAGGGTGGCGGGGTGCCCAGCCATGGGGGACAGCGGGTGTGTGGTTCCCAGCCTAGGGAGGGGCGAGGGGATGGGAAGAGTCCATCAGTGAGGAGGCTCTTCCGTGACCACCTGTCCCGAGAGTGCGCGCCAGGCGGCGGGCCGGGCTGGGCCGGCCGAGGAGCTCTATCCGGGCCGCGCTGAGCCCTGGACACCGGAGCCGGGCGCTCTGCAGGCCGGGTCCCCGCGAGGGCTGATGCGCCGCCGCCACCCCTCGTCACGCGGGGTCCAGAGCCCACCCGAGGCCCAGTCCCAGGCGCCCACCTGAGTCCAGGCAGCTCCACTAGTCTGACCTGTGCAGACTGGACTTGGGGCGGGGACAGGGGTGCGCCGCGTGCTCCTGTTGCCGGGCCACAGATGCGTGAAATAAATCAGACACACGAGCTGGACTTCGCGTGCTCTCTCTTGTATGAAAACCCAAGGCATAAACAAGTCAAAGAGCAGAATAATAGATAGATAACAAGAAACAGGAACACAGGCCTTTGCAAGTGGGAAGGGGACCGAGGGAGGGAGGGGACAAAGGCGAGGGGAAGGGGCATGAAAGAACGAAGCTGTGTTATGCACCTGCACCAACTCCCCGCGAGGGATGCAATCATGTACTGCAAACGTGAACTCATAAAACTAAAAATGTCTTTAAAGTTTAAAAAACTAATAAAAAGATTGAGGCTTCCCCAGACTGACCCTACTTACACAGACAGGTGTGCACACACACCACGTGCCCAGGCATACATTCGGGGCTGCCTACTCAGAATATGAAAGCACAGTGAATTCAGTGACCTCGAAAACGCAGAACTGATGGCTCCCTGGCGGGGCCAAGGCCCGTGTTTCTGGCTCCTGAAACACTTTGGGGTCTGGGAACCCACGCTGGGCCTTGGCTGCGGAACTGGAGCTCCCAGGAAACCCCACACGGCATCCACCAGCTGTCAAGCCAGGGATAGGAGCTGAGCCGGCAGGTACCTGAGCGCTCACCCCGTGGGAGGAGGCTGTCCTGCTGTGGGACAGCTCATGCCCAGAGGGTGGGACCTGGAAGTTACTCAGCTTCTTCCCCACTGCAGGACAGACCGTGCACATTATAGTAGTGAAAGTGGACCTGCCGGACAGCTAGGACAGGCCACATTAAGGTGGAGACGGTGGGAAATATGAACCAATCCAAAGTCATAGTCTTCTCAATATGTTGTCTAGTCTAAGGCCAAGCCTACCTACCGAATGTCTCTTAACAGACCCGTGAATCCGAGCTTGGTAAAGCTGAGTAAAGTAGATCATTCCTTCCAGACGTATCTACTGAGCACTAACTACTCCTTATGGAGCATAGAGAACTCGACTTGTGGGAAGCAAGGCACCAAGGTTTCTCACCTCACCCAGCGGGGAGTCTGGGGGAGGGGCAGACTAGACACAAATACGACCCCATGGTTAGGGCCTACAAGTACAGCCTGCTTCCTTTCAAGACAGATGACTGGGCTAGGGCTGACCAGAGGAAGTGACCTCTAACTCAGACTTAGAGAGAGGTTGGTGGGTATGGCTATGCACTAGAACAACCTAGGGAACTTACGAAGAAACTTGACACCAGGACCCAAACCCAGAGGTTGGGGTGGAGCCTTTGGTGTGAATATTTTTAAAAGATCCCCAGATACAGAGAGGTAAGGAAGTATAAGGGCTGATCAATCAAAAGATACAGTAATGTTTGATTTTTTAAAAACTTGTTACAGCTGGCCAGGGATTTAGCTCAGTGGTTCTGCTGCCTGTCTCAAAAGCGCAAGGACCAGAGTTTGATCCCCGGTACCAAAAAAAAAAAACTTGTTACAGTAAAAGACACATTGCTAAGAACAATATGTGTGTTCAAAGAGGGGGAAGCATTCAAAGTATTTTGAGGAAGATTGGTGGGCAATGTGCCTTTTACTGCAATAAATTTTTTAATTTAAACTGTCACTGAAGTTTCTGATCACCTCTCATTGATCAACTGTTGACGGTAATTTTTAGTTTTTGACATAAGGTCAGGCTGGCCTTGAACTCACTATGTAGCCCAGGCTGGTCTTGAACTTACAGCAATCCTCCTGCCTCAGCCTCCTCAGTGCTAGAATTATAGGCATGCACTGCCACATCTAGCTTGTTTGCAGCAAATATGGTGTGTTTTCATCCACTTTATTCATCAAATTTAGCACCTTGTGACTTCTTGCTCTTCCCCAAAGTCAATATGACCATGAAAGCTAAATGCTTGCAATCAGTTCAGGACATCAAGGCAGCCATGACGGCACATCTAAAGACACTCAGGAAAGAGGACTCCAGAACTGCTTCAGAAAGTGGCAAGAATGATGGGATAAAGGTGGTCAGAGGGAGAAGTGGGGATTTCATTCCACTTTCCATGCCTTTTGCAGAAACAATCTAGCTGCAAAATAGTATCATAATTTAAACTGCCCTTCTGCATCCACCTCTCTCCATTTCCTGGTTTATCCTAGACCTGAGTATCCCAGTGTGGATAAACTGTTTCCTCTTCAGATTAGCAGGACCGGATCTTCCCCACTGACGAAGGATAAGGCCAAATGACAAGGTCCCTGGGATCAAGATATTTTCCATGGAGTGCCTTGAGGCCTACAGAGAGAGAAAACCAGATCCGGGATCCTTCAGAGGGTGTCCCCTGCAGAAGGATGAGATCTGTTGCATCCACAAAGCATCCCTGGTGATACTCAAGCACTTACGAAGCAGCTGTCTCTGCTCAAAGCCCTGGCAGTAGCACCGGGGTCTTCCTTGACAGGTAGAACTTATGGGGACTCTCTCGCCCCTGGGACTCTCCGTACTGTGGTCCACTGACTCCCTAGAGAGAAGGGCACAGCCCTAGAGGTGCCTTTGACCACTTGGGAAACAGCAGATCGAGAGGGACTCTCTGAGGGCCCCTGGCTGGGAAGCAAAACCCCTTACACTCATCCCCGTCAATGCTTTGGTACTTTGTTTAAGGCAGTCGAGGTTATCTGAATTTTTGAGAGGATCTAGTCCAAATCCCTTGTGTTATCTGAAAGCAATGAGTTTAGCTTTTGTCTGTAAGGGCGAAAAGCCGAGGGGCCCTGCAATGTCTCCTCATACGACTGATAGAATAAAATGCTGAATCCTTAAATCCCCTTCATCTTACCCTCAGATTGCAAGAAATCAGCAAACACAGCAGTCAGAGGAAACTAACACATTCTTGATTCAAGGTGAGAGCCTGAATCTGATGAAACAGGCTTATGAGTAGTTGCGGTGTGAGAGAGGTGGTGTCAAGGAAATGTAAACCGTGGCCTGCAGCAGACCCAAAGGTGATGGTGCAAATCTCTTCCTTCTTGGGAGGTGATGTGAGGGGACAGGGTCACCACTGAGGGCATCAGGTAACCTGCCACCCCCTGAATGTGAAGGTACATCAGCCTCCTTGCATCTCCACGGTGATTAGCACCCACGCTATGCTGATCAGCACCATAAAAACACAAATATCCTCCCCACAATCATTAGGTCCTGGGAGCTTGCCCTCTTGTGGATGAGTTTGTACAAGTCATGGTACTGGCACAGTTAAAGACAGAGTCCAATTCACTCAGAGCTCCGATCATCACTGCCATCATCAAGCCCTGACAGCCCACAGGAACCAGTTTCATCACCAGGGACAGGTAAGCAATATTGGAGCACCCAGCTGGGCTTCCTTCCATGTACCTTCATGCCATGCTCTGGGTTGATGCAAGCTATATCATCACCAAACAGTATCCTGGAAATCACTCCTGGGACAACTATGACAAACACTGCAGAAGCTTCAAGAAGCCAGCCATTAAGAGTACAGCCTTGGCATGAGCAATGTTTTTGGCTGCTAGGACCCTCCGCCCTATGACTTGGTCAGCACACCAGTACCACACTGAGGTTGGAGTCTGTCCAAGAATGAATCCCGGCCATGGAACATCTGCATCTATAGGATCCCGCAACATTTTTAGGGCTTCAGGTGGACAGTACAAGAATTTGTGTTGGGAAGGTTCTGGGGCAACAAAATGGAAGACACACTGGGTGAAGCCAACATGTACC